GCAACATTAAGGTCCTGGCCACCAATATATGCCTACAGGTAATATATATTGATTAGAAATAAGGACAAAAAATTAGATGAAATTCAAATATAGAGGCATCACAAGCATCGCAAATTGGTAGGCCACTGCAACATGAATTACATACCTATAAGCAGTACTGGACGTCAAACTATCAGATCAATGACTTAGAACCCCTGCTTTCAAATCCAAAGGCATTAATAACCAGTCAGAAGCTAATAAGAGAAGGCAGCATATGCCCACAAAATCTCATCTCAAGAATTGGCCATTTAGTACTGAGGACCTATTCTTTACGCAACCTTAGCAAAAATGTCATATTAAAACGTAGTCAAATTACCTTGGTCTTTCCATCACAACTAGGACATGTCCAACTAAAAAGTTATGTCAAATCTGACATGTAAACCTGCAAAACAAAAAGCTTTGCATCTTGTCACAATGTTATTGTATTGAAATGGTGAAACCTGAAGGGTAATAACAAGAAGCTCTGTGTAAACGGGAGAAAGTTTATAAAGAACACTTACTACAGATGTATACTCCACCACTATCGTCACAAGAGTCTGATCGTAAACAGCTTGAAGAGCCTTGGACCTCACTCAAAGTTCTGCATTTACTAGTTGAGAAAATTTCAGATTGAAAATGCAGTCACAAGTTCATTCAATTACAAGCAACGAAGCAAGTTTCTTATGTCTCTAGCAAGCTCTTTCAACAAATCAAGTGAGAGGAACACTTTAAGGAAACATCAACTCAAAACAATATTTCAGTATATTTCTACCGTCCTCCTTCGTGAACTCAAAGAACTATATATGTTCAATGCAATGCGATGAAAGGGGAATAAGTAAACAACATAAGGCTCCTCTTTCCCAAAAGCTATTCCACTATAACCTTCAAGCTACAGTCCATCACTCAACTGGAGAAAAGCTGACTAGCTGACAGTCAATCACTGTGAGATACTCAACAAATTTTATCCCCAGAGAAGAAACAGCAGGATGAAATTTGTACCGAACAAATGTAAGGAAATTCAATCAATCCGACCGTATTCCAGTAGTAGCATTGATCCAAACTCAGTAATCCAATAGCTTAACAAAACCAACAAAATGCAACACAACACTATCAGTCATATGCTTTGAAAACATCCAAATCTACACCAGAGGGATCATTCAGCTATAGGTTTGCCCCCATTCAATCAGGCACTACAGCTCCACGACGATTCCCCAACCCTGAAATACCTAAATCCGCCAAATTCACAATACAAATCTCACTTTCCAAGCTCAAAACCGACGTACCCAACACTAGAGCTTCCGAATTGAGTCAAGAGGATCACAGCAGTAAGCTGGTACATGAACACGGAATGCGATTACCTCTCGCCCCACTTGCGGCAATCGAGCACGTCAGAACCACCATTGCCCTCAACCACCACCCGTTCCGCTCCATATTCTACAATAGAAACGGATCGAACAGCGTCATCGAGAAAGCGAAACTGCACCACAAAGAAATCGAATCTCTGTAACGTTTCACATAAGCAAACAATTACACGAAATTGAATGCCGCAAATCGCGCAGTGAGATAGAGAGATGGATCGCGATCGTCCGTATTTCTCGAATTGAACCTCGATTCCGGTCTCTCAGGTTGGTGGATTTCATGAAGATTCTCGCGACGGGATGGCGATTGAAAGCTACGGCAACTTGGGGCAAAGGGTAGGAGAGGATGATGAGTATACGACATTCCTGATTTGCCCTTGGGATCTTCTTCTGTTGTTGGCGGGCATATTCGGTGATTTCGCCGTTTGAGTGAGGGCACTGAAGGAAGTTCCTCTAGAAATTCAAATTTGGGGTTCTGTCTTCTCTCTTTTGCAGCTTCCCTTTGATGTCTCCACATTAGCACTTCGACTCAGCTTATTTGAATTAGTTATTTTTTTTTTATCTATCCTACTCTAATTGTCATCTCACTCTCAAATTTTTGCTCTATCTCTTTGTAAAGTACGGGAATCTGGGAATCGAACTCCACACCTGAAATTAAATGTCCCAATCACCAGTTCCTGAAAAAGTGAGAATTCGAGCCCTCTATCTCATCCATCCTAATGGGAAGGATGGCCACTAGAGCAACCCCTAGTATATGAAAATACAATCACTACTAGACGCACTATAAAGGTGTATTCAACTTTAAAAAGACAACTGTGTTCGGTTACACATGCCTACTTTTTCTCAATTTGGCTTAACAAACGGGGGGAGATGAGAGCTCCCATTGAACCGAAGTAGTTGTGCCTTCAGAGTATAGAACCATTAGTCGCTCTGAATAGTTTTGATTATAAATGCGGTCCTTAATCTAAGTTTCTAGATATGCAGGCGAGGACTGCCGTCGTGAAGGATGAGAGATTACGCAAAAAAAAAAAAGAAAAAAGAAAAAAAAAGAGGGTTCTACGGTGGCGGGAAGCAACTTGAGACAATAGCGATGCTGATCCTAAAAAGGTTACTTGAATCTGTGAAAATGTTTGCGATGTTGAATAGAAATGGTAGAGGACACATTTGGGGAATGATAAGATCCTGATTGGTGCTCAGTACCATTGTGATCGGGATTACCTTATGCTATGTCTTCATGAATTCCTGTTTCTCCAAAGAAATGCACCCTGCCTAGGTGATTGTCGATGAATGAACACATTACATAATTCATGTCAAGTCGATGCAAAGTCTCTGCAGTCAAATATTTGTATTGTAACGGTAGACCGAGACATTCCTATGTATAGGAGGCCGTAGCTCATTGTTCAAAAAATTCTCAGATTTACACAATTTGAGATAAATATGTTATAAGTGTACCAGTTAAGGGTAAGTGTAATACGGATATACTAGTTTAAGGGTTTTTTTTATGAAAATATGACATGTGCATACCAATTTAAGATTTTTTGTGGTAGTAAATCTTGTTTAAAAAAACTTGAACTTTGACTAGTTGTCCAAAGTCACTCTAGACTAGACTAAAGTCACGTTAGATCCGCGTCAGCTCCATTCACTTGTTGTTATCTACGCAAGCCGCCACGTAGGGACGGACTTGTAAAGGTATCTATTTTTGGGTCACCAGTACAAGTTTGCAAAAATTGATAACACGAAAAATTGAGTCATCAGTGTCACACTGGGTAAAATTTAGGCTTTTTAATGGAATTTTCTCAAGCCCAGTTAGCTTCGTTTGCCAATCGGTGTCCACACAAACGGACATGTCCAAATTTTAATGAGTAGTGAACTTTGACGAAGGTACTGGTACAAGCTTGGGATTTTGACGACACGATCCATCGCCATCAGGAGCCACCCACCTTCGTGCATTGATCCCCCGGCGACGTTAACTCCTTGCCCGTTTGAGTCTTTTGCTACACCTTCGTTTCTTTATATCTCCGTGCAGAGTTCATGACTTATGTCGATGGAAGTCGCGACCGCCGTTGATTCACTCCAACGGAGGTCGCTAGCCTCGTAAGGCCATAGATACGTGGTCACGTGAGGCAAGCCACCTCCATGACCGCTCGGAGCTCCACTCGGGTTGATTTGCTTGATTTTTGGAGCATCAGAGAGAGACAACCCTGAGCCCAACTTAAAAAAATAAATAAACAGATAAACTTCCTCGCCACGAGGGCATTTGGGTATTTTCGCAGCAGCAAAAGGAGGCATGCAGTCATGCACTTGCTGATCCAAAGATTCCAGAAAATCACAGGAACAACTCGTATGGCCGGACGTACAGGCAAAGGCGCAAGTGTGTCCCGTGCAGTGCCATTCCTGCAATTTGGAGGCAAGTGTGTGGGCATTTACGGCGACACCGTGTTGTCCGAAAATCCAATGCAAAGATACATTTCACACCGTGCGGTCAGTTTCGGTGCAAAGTGAACTCCACAGATACAAGATTATTACAATTCAAAAACATAAAAAAGAACGAGAGCGAAATTCTTTTTAATATTTTATTTTAGTCACCGAAGCCACTCGATTGCTCCTCCCATCTCCTCAGAATCGCACTAATTCATTTGCCCCGCCAATTTTGTACTTCTGTTTCTAAATGCGTAACGATGGTGGAGAAAAAAAGAGAAGAACTGGGTTGGGAGTGGTGGTAGTAACAAGCCACGGAATGCGGTTTTCTGGTGATTTTCTGGGGAAGTGGAAGCACCTCCCCGGAAGTTAGTAGAACTATGTCTATGTGGAGGAGGCTGGGGCTCACGCTGCAGCTGAAGTAATTAGAAGAGCGTTTAAATTGAGGTGAAGAATCAGGACCGGATTGGATCTTTTCTTCTATAATCATAAGGCATCTCTGGGGGTGCTGTCAATCTATTATCTAGTCCTGTTCTTTGCGCCTAACTTGTTGAATCGAATTACATGTTGGATATTTCGACCGTGAAGTAGCTTATGGAATTGAGAGAATCGGATGGTACGAAAATTTCCGATCCAAAAATAATGCTCCAATTTTCTTTATCTCGTTACCACAACAATGAATCTGGTCATCTCTATGACGTGGTTGAATCATAACAAAGAATATGGTGAAAGGTGCTTTCTTTTTCAATGACCAAATGAGGAAAAACTAGTTTATGCACGAGAGTTAAAAGAGGCTCTAAGCAACCCAGGAGTTAGATTAGGTTAGACTAGACCATCGATTGATAGAAATGTGGGTGCAAATTAGTCCCACAACATTATCTTATTACCTCGCACTCTCATATGTAAATATTCTCATGTTTGAAATATCTATTTGAATTTATCTTGCATTTTAGTCCACTCATCACTACGTACTTAATCCCTCACACACTTCAGACTGATTCTTAGGTAGAGTCCAAAACCGCATTAGTTAAGTAGATGGAAAAGAGAAACCCCCCGAACCTGTCCACTTACCCATTGTGCTTGTTATGACATTAACTAATGTCGAGCTGAATAAGTAAAAAACGACCCAAATCATTAATTCCAAATGAATAGAAGTGGAGCAGTATGTGAAAGCATCACTTCACAGTTAGAAGAATTCCTCTTGGTTCATGCATCTCTGGTGACGATTTCAAGAATGAATTTTATTCGACTCCACTTTGAGTCCATCGACATTTCATAGTCTTCGGCAATGTCGGGCACTGTAGGTGCCTTGCGTCTGATTACCAATGTCCAAAACTGTCTCGTTATGGCTCTGATGATCAAACTAAGAGAACCTAAAAAAAATTTGTAGAAGGGAAAAAAAGAGAGGAAAACTACTCAAAGTGGAGGTCATCATACTTGTTGGATGATGTTGCTGAAGCCCGATTTTCCATCGGCAAGTTGACTCCAAGATCAAAATGCACTCTAACCATTAAAGAGAAATTTCTCGAGCTGTAGGAATGCTTGCCAAACCCTCCTTTTTTCTCCAATTGTTACGAAGCATTTCAAAACTACACACGACTCTACCAAACTTGAGCTACCCTTGAATCTGGTCATTTGGTCTACATGTTTGAATTTGACAGAGGGAGTTCGCAAGCGAGGGTATTTGTGGTGCGGGCAGCGATGCCGTGATGCTCTAAGTACAACATAAACATCGCGAAGCTATAATATTGTCCTTGATTCAATATACAAACTAGGAAGAAGATATATGCAAGTGCGTATAAAACAATGAATGACATTTTGTTAAGTTAACTATAAAAAGGGTCTTTTTAATAATAAAAAAAGGCGTAAAAACAACACCACCTTTTTTTGGAAACTAAATTTAATGAACATAGCATTTTCCCTTTTTAAATTCATTTTTTCGACATATCACTTACAAGTAGGCCCGACACCTCTATACTAATGCATGATATATATATATATATATATATATATATATCAAATTTTATCAAATATAGAAAGTTCAATTTGTCTTCAAGCATTGGAATGATTGTCAAAAGAATTACTCCACGATTAAAAAGGAGATTCTTGCTATTGTACTTTCTATTTCAAAATTTCATGGAGATCTTTTGAACCAGAAATTTTTACTAAGGATTGATTGCAAATCTGCAAAAGATGTTTTGCAGAAAGATGTTCAAAATATTGCTTCTAAACAGATTTTTGCCAGATGGCAAGCCATTTTATCTATTTTTTATTTCGAAATAGAATTCATAAAAGGTTCTTCAAATTCTCTTCCAGATTTTCTCACAAGAGAATTTTTACAGGGAAAATATCTCCCAAACCGCCCAACAAGCCCACAAGGAGAGAAAGGAAAACAATTTGCAGAACCATCTTCAGAGAAAAAACCCTCCGGCTTAACCAATATCAGGACCTGGCTTCAGGCTGCCCAACAGCCAGCGAATATTACTACCATTTCCAGCCAAGTCAAAAAGGAACCTATTCCTCTTATAGGAAATCCTTCTGACTTTAATAAACTTTCTCAATATGACATAACACAATTATCACAAGAAGAGGCTTTACAGCTTCTCCAACAGGCTTTCAATACACAGCCTTAGCCTTCCATGGCGATAGACCCATCTCCCATAGCCACTCAGAAGGCAAAGGGAAAAACAATTTCTAGCGAGGTGGTCATACAGTCTACCCAGGGTATCCAAGCAACCCTTCCAAAATCAAAATTTTTCCATAAAACAATATTTCAAAACATTTGCAATGCTGAAAATGGCTTTTATAATGTGGATCCATATATTTTTGCAAGAAATATTGTCACGCCCCGGAACCCCAGCGAGCACGCGACATCCCTCTTAGGTCGAAATAGTTGCGACATCCCAGGGTATCGCCGACCTCACTTATTATCATCAGAGATTTAATTCAACAGCGGAAACCACAAATCACCCTGACAACCAAAACTGGGGAGAATACACATATTCTTTTCTCATTAAAACTTATACCATAATATTCACAATTTTACAAACCATCATATACATGTGCACACCGTACTATAAAACATCGATATCCAAAAAGATCCGATGACTTGGCATTCTAACCTAAAAAATGGTACTCTTCCAAAAACCCATTTTCAACCCCTATACTAGCCCCTACGCCCCTTATTCGGCGTCCACTCTGAGTCCGACTCCTCGCTATTCAAATCCGAACTCCCCTGAACAGTCTGCTCCTCCGAGGACTCTGGTTCTGCCTCGATCTCAATCGGGTGATTAATGTCACCCGATTCGGATGGAACTTCAAACTGATCCTCCTCAGCCGGTACTTCGAAGAAATTATCCTCGGGCACGAAATTGGGATCCATAAACTGCTCGAATGGGAGTATATACTCTGGATCCTCCTCAGGCTCTTTAGACTCGTCAGGCTCGTTCTCGGGTTCTGCCTCGGGCTCTACCTCCTCTGGTTCGTCCTCGGGAATTGGCTCTAAATCTATGTCCATCGGGTCGTCTTCTGCTTGCGATCCTTTGGGCTCGGGTTCGTGCTCAGCCCCGGAAGATTCTTGAGCTACGGGCGCTGGATGCAAACCAGACTGAGCTAAACTAATCTCTGCACTGGTCAACTCTCCATCTATCGGGGGTATGGCAGACGGGTCCCAATCCCCAACTAAGTCAAACGGAACATCGAAACCCCTAACGGGCCCGAACTCATCCCCTGCTACATCCTGGAAGAACCAGGCAGTATAGACATGGGTCTCCCATAAAGGTAGTCCTACCTCTACAAAAACAGTTGTAGTATGCTTAATCCAGGTCATGCCATCACCCATAGGAAATTCTGTAACCTCATACTCGGTGTGCACTGGCACCCCAAAACGCTCTGGTGGCGGTGGTGGAGGATTCATGGCTCGGGTCGGGGTTCTGAAAATTATTGGTTGAAACAACCATGAAACTACATCTCAGTAAGTACACCCCTAAACCCCACCTAGGCTATCACGTACCTTCAGACAATCACAAAGCACAATCACACATACACTAAATCATTACATAGCAGGCACTTCACATACGATCACATGCATGTACAAATCTCATGTCATGCACTCATTCCGTTCTCATTATCTCTTTTCCACATTCCGCGCCAGTGACCCGCGTTACAGTACACGCCTCAGGTTCACTGCGATCCACTTATCACAACACTTCAGGGCCCGCGTTAACGTACACGCCTCAGGCCATGTTTCTTGCCCCCGTTGAAGTACACGCCTCAAGCTCAACACCTACCATCTACTGCGCAACCCGCGTTGAAGTACACGCCTCAGGCTGGCAGTCTTCCGGTAATACCGGGCATCGTCCCGCGTTGAAGTACACGCCTCAGGACGGCACAATTTCCACGAATACATGTCATACCACATTTCTTTCTTACTCATGCACATGCTCAACAAACATTTACCACACTTAATTGGCCAATCACACGTGGCCCGCGCATGCCTCAATTCACACGCAAAACATGCTCACTAAGCATTTGACATGGCCAATTTTTAATAAATAAATCAGTTTGGCTCAAGCGTGCACCCAACAGGCATTTTTCAATCATGTAATTACACAACCATGCACTAAATTTCATCACCTCAACCCAGTCATAGTTCCAACACATATTAAACACACAATTTGCCATTTTTCTCCAATCAAATGGCGTCAAATCAATTCCGGTCCTTCACGACACTTTCTCACCGTTAATTGCCGATTCTAAAAATCCAATTTGCGTCCCGATCGACCCATCACAGCCCACTGAATAGTCACTCACAGCCAACTGTTGTCCTCAAAGTCTCCATTAAAATTTTCCCAAATTCAATCCTAGGCCCCCCAATTGATTTTACTCCTAATCCGTACAATCCCATACCCGAATAAACCCGATTTCAACCAAAATTACCCGTCGATACCCAATATCCTAAGTCGGGTTTAGGGCGCGACTTACCCGACCCTAGACTCACACGGCTAGAGTGAAAAACGGTGGCAATCGACGGCGATCTTGCGGCGGCGACGGTGTACGGCTCCCTGCGGCGGCGATCGGCTCACGGTGGGGCAGCTTGGCTCACGGCCAAGGGAAAAGAAACTGAGAGGGAGAGAGAGAGAACGGCGATGAGGTGGCGTGAGGGTGGGGCGGCGGATCGACGGCGGTAGGCGGTGCGGCGGCGACGGCGGGAGGGAGAGAGAGAGAGTTCGGGAGGGAGAGAGATGGAGGGGAGGCTCACGGTGGGGGGGTGACCGAATGGGGAAGAGAGAGAGAGGAGAGAGAATGGTCTAACTTAACTTCCAAGTTTTGACCAATTTTGCCAAATGACCGAAATACCCCTCTCTCACATTTTGATCCAACGGTCCAGATTCGATCTAATCTTGGAATCGACGGCCCAGATCGAATCTCACCCAAAAATATCTAAGGGTAGTCTTGAAATTTATCAAAAAGTCCAAGGGCAAAATTGTCCTTTCCAAATTTGAGGGTAAAATGACCAAAATGCCCTTTGCCCATAAAACTAACCCTTTATTAATTCCCAAGGGTAAAATGGTCACTTTCTCCGTTTCTCGTCGAAATCGAACTTTTATGAAAAATCCGAAGAAATCCAGAGTTGTACGTTCCAATTACAACGTCGTCCAAAGGCCCTGCCGTGACTTTCCAAATTTTCTGATGCTCGGTTTGGTCTCTAATCAATATTCAAATTATCTATATATATAACGTAACTCGAGCGTTTCTCAAACTAACGGGTGGCTTTTGGGAAATTCGCCTGTACGACCCGTGACTGATACTAAATCGAGTCACGTGCAATTTATTCAGACCGTAACGACTTCGGTTACCAATAAAATCGCGAGGATCGATGCAACAGTCTGAATTTTTGATCCTTTTCCTGGGATTTATGAAATGAATATTTTGGCCAACGCACTTATAGTGAGATCTCACCCAGAACTGCACATTCTCGAGATGCTAACCTTAGGGGTAAGGCCATTATGGGATTGAGTTCGCACGACCAAAGAACTCGACCTTGGTTCGGCTTTCGACCAGAAGGATTGTCGAGGGAATGTTTTAGGCCAACAGAGAGCGATCTATTTGATTGATCGTGTCTGAAGGGAACTAGCGACAGACCCTCGCAATTACATGACAATCGAGGTCGCCTTGGTTCGAGCAAACTTAAACGTGATTTGACTTAGTGTCGATCACGGGTCAAGAGCGCGTAATCCTAATGAGCCACCCGTTAGCAAGAGATAAGCTAAAGTCGCGATTGTTCGATTCTAGTCATTTCTTGGAATTCGGGCCCGGGAATCGAGAATTTTGGAAGTGACAATTTTGAGCGGCTGATGACGTTTTTGGCTTGGCCAACCTTGGGGCCACCCATTTCTGCAAAAAAATGGATTTCGATTCTGGACCGAAAAAATGACCATTTTGCCCCTAGGCCTAATTTGGGGTATTTCGAATTTTGGAGATTTATTTTGGGGATATTTTATGGATAACCATCAGCCCAATAATTCAGATTAAGTTGGACAAAATTGCCCCTCAATTATTTGTCTAGATTTAATCCAAGCCATTGAAGAGAAGGGCAATTTGGTCATTAAAGGAAATTTTGACCATTTAGTCAAACCTTGCCTTTCTCTCTCCTCACTCTCTCTCACCTCACCTCCGGCCATCCCCTCTCCCCCACGATCAGCCCCTCCTCTCCCGTTTTCTCCCTCTCTCTCCCGAAATTCTCTCTCTCTCTCTCTTTTCCTTGCCGTGATCGTCGCCGGCGGAGGAGTACCGCCGGCTGTCGTTCGCCGCTGCTGCTGCTGTTGCTGGTCCGGCTATTCCAGCCCCTTGTCCATCCAGTTTGTCGCGTTTTTCTTAGGTAAGTGACTTCCCCAAACTCTCCCTAGGACCTCGGGTATTGTAGGACGTGTTTAGAGCTCGGTTTAGGCGATTTGTGTGGTTGTTTTGGGACTTGGAGTGAGGCTGGATGTTCGGTAGTCATGGACTGAATTGAGGGGTGGAAATATGAAGTTTGGGAGGTTCGGATAGGGCCGTGATGATATGGAACGATTACGGTTTGAATTCGTGGATTTGGTGTGATTTTCGGATTTGTGACTACTGTACCTGTCCAGTTTGCTATTTTTGTGGAGAATTTTGGGGGCCGAATTTGAGGAAGTTTTCTTCATTAAAGTTTCTCCCAACATCTAGAAGTATGACATATTTTAAATTTGGAATTTTTTGAGGCCATTTGGGTCGTGCGAAAACCCATTTTCAGACCGTATTGAAACCGCTCGGAACACTGTTCATCCCGACCTTCCTGTCTTGCCGAATGTTTATAAAATTTTCCAGATCTATTTTCAATAAAATTCTTCACAAAATTTGTTGGTGACTCTCTTTTCTATGACATATAAAAATTTCAAATCTTTTCAAGGTGATTTGGGTGTTGAAAGAAATGTATTTTGAGGACAAAACAGTCTGTTAGAGCGAACTGATTTTGGTCTGATTTCGAGGGACAAAAAGGCATGGTTGCAGACTGAACCAGATTTTGTGTTCTTCATAAGAATTGTTGATCAAGATGTGTTTTATGATATATCCAAAATTTAGAATTTTTGGAGTTCGTATATGCGATTGTATGATTTGTGATTGTTGGTTGATTCTGGATTGTGTCTTGGGCTGAATGTGGCGTGATTGTGTGCCGAGAGTGTGTGGCCATGAGGCGTGAAGGTATGATTGTGCGTTGAGTTCGTGTGCCAAGCATGGGTGATCGTGTGGTATTCATGTGGCGAGAATGTATATTTGTGAAGTGTATGTGAAGTGTGCGATTGTGTGTGGCCTTGTGTATATGTGGCTAGGTGGTATGTGTGGTATGAGTGGAACGAAGGTACGGGAATGTAGGATTGGTTAGAAAGGTTCCGTCCTGAGGCGTGTTCGTTTACGTGGGACGATGCCGTCCCTGACGAGGTGGCGATGCCTGGCCCGACGGGGTGACGATGCCTGACAAGGTCAGAAGACCGTTGGCCTAATGCATTTTACGCAGGCGCGGTAGAAAAGGAAGTGGAAAGGTAGGATTCCGTCCTGAGGCGTGTTCGTTTACGCGGGACGATGCCGTCCCTGACGAGGTGACGATGCCCGGTCCGACGGGGTGACGATGCCTGACGAGGTCAGAAGACCGTTGGCCTGATGCGTTTTACGCGGGCGCGGTAGTGGTGGAAAAGATTAGGAATGAGCTGGTTTGAGAAAGTGGACGTGTGGGGTGAGTTCGTGTGCGAGTGTGGCTTGTATCGGGTATCGTAGCGTTCAATTATAGGGTAAAAACTGCTAGGCATGGTATGGGACGTGCCCAAGTAGGTTTTGCCTTATAATCGAGGCACGTGTGTAGCTGTGATGTATTACTGGGGGATGTGGGTTGTGTTATTATCTGACGTGCAGGGACGTGCATGATGGGTTCTAGGTAGGTGCGCATGTGTTTGTAAGTATGGTTGATCGTTGCATGTTATGTGTGTTTCGTCTGGCGGTATGCGAGAGCCTACGTGGGGTTTGGGGTTGTACACTTATTGAGATTCGTCTCACGGCTGTATAACCACCACTTT